CTCTTGAAAAGAGGTCTTTGTAGTTTTCAGTAACATATTCACAGAAGTTCCCGACAGTAAGACTATGGAATGCGATTGACTATTTCTCCTTACTATTGTAATGTCAGGCAACTTTGTGTTCTTGAACATCGTCACCCCGAAATACTTTAACAATTATTAACTGAACTGTCTGATACCATCTTCCAGCTCTGCACAATATTGCATTGAAATCAAAATAGACCGTAAACACCCTTAAAAAGGCTTCACTTAATATTACATGGAAAACTACAACAATAATTTGTATTTATACAGCATCCTTCATGCAAGTTAGAGTCTTGGAATTCTGAACAAACTGTTTCTAAATCAAGGATCCTTTAAATCAGAAATCTATTAAGATCCTCAAAGGCATTAACAGTGCATCTCTGAGTCAGTTGTGGGACAGTCAGTGTAAGACAAGCAGAAATAGCCTGTTCAGTTACTTTTCAGTTGGGACCAATCAAGGAGCAGTAGATAACCAGCAGGAGTGCAAATGGCGTTGTTCATTTCCTATGTGACCCAAAGGTGTTCAGGGAATTGTAGTGTCCCAGTTATGGCCCCAGCTGAGGTCAGCTAACTGAGCAGAAAACAAGAATTTGAACAAAATTTTTAAATAGTTTTATGAACAACATTTACAGAAAGTTAATGCAAGATTATTGTTCAGATCATCTGTCTGAAATACATTTCAATGCTAGAGAAAGGAGACTTTCCAACTTTAGTTAAATTATTGGTACCCTAATTCAGGGTAACTATCAGCCATATCTGCAGATAATAAAATCCTGTAATAATCATAATAATCCTTGCATTTGATATAGCGCTTTTCACGTCGGGAGGACGTCCCAAAGCGCTTCACAGAACACACTGTAAAGTGACTTGACTATATTTGTGGGCGAACGCGGCAGCCAATTACGCACAGCAATGTCCCACAAACAGTCGTAGATTAAAAATGACCAATTTATTATTTTTTTGGGGGGGTTTTGGAGGGATTATTATTAGGCGTGTGGAGTAAGGAAACTTGCCCAAGGTTTGGCCCTGCCTGGAATTGAACTCAGGTCTCTCGTTTGCAAAGCGAGTGCTCTAACCACCGAGCTATAGGACTCCACTGTACATCTTGTGCTTATATTTTCTTTCTTTCTTTCTTTCTTTCTTTCTTTCTTTCTTTCTTTCTTGCTTTCTTGCTTTCTTGCTTGCTTGCTTGCTTACTTACTCCTCTCGAGAAGTAATTACCACACCTAGAGTGCTCAGCATAATTACATCCTTTGCGGAAATCCATGCCCATTGTCTGAAGCAAAATTGAATCTGTTACAAAAGTTATATTCATTAGCAAATTATTTATGAAAGTTGAAATCTCTGTACTTCTGCACAAGAGTTCCTGCTAGAAAACAGCAGGAATGAGATTGGTTTTCAAGGTATAGCATCAAAATCCTTGCAGTAAGGGCAAAAAATGCAATGTCATTTCCAGATCCCAAATACCTTATTGTCAAAACAAGGAAATAGTCTTCAAGTATGCATTGGGAAATGGACTATTCACATTACTGGATTTAGGTGGAAGTAAATACTGTAATAACATATTGGGTCTCAAAATACTATACGCATATAGAATTTCCCACTATAATTAAAGACACAACAAAAACACTTCTGCAAGTAGTAAGCAGCTAAAATACTAAGTAAATTTACCCTTTTACATCCGTCAGGCTATTTCCAATCCCTTATAGCTCACCAGAGCCATCCTCAATTTTCTCTCTGCGTCTTAAAAAAATATACATATAGCTGCAGACTCTATATACCATATTAGACAGAAAGCATCTCCCCGAAGGTCAGCCAACAGAGGCAGGCTTACAGGGATCATATTCATCTCAGAATACGTTCTGACAAAAGGTTCCAACGAAAGGTCATAAACCTGAATAGTTAACTCATCTTTCTCTCTTCATAGATGCTGCCCGACCTGCTGCATGTTCCCAGCAACTTCTGTTTTTATTTTAGATTTCCAGTATCTGCAGTATTTTGCTTTTTGTTCATCTCAGAATGTGGTTTATAAATCCCATAATTCATAATTCAGCACTTCATCCATCATCCCTTCCTTCTCTCCATTTATAGTACAATTTATCTCCCAACTATTTTTTTGGCGAAGGCAGAGCAAGAAGGACTTTAAAGAGACAGTAAGGAATAGGTTATGAATCACAAAATTTCCTCATGCCATCTCCAGAAAGCCCTGTTGTTGTGGAAATCCACAGTGTTACAATGGACTGGAACCTACAGAAAGTGAATATTAAAAGTAATTAGTAATTTATTTGCGTGGTACTCAATTTTGTTTCGCTTGGGTCGTCCTCCCAACGTGAAAGGTGCTCTATAAATGTAATTTTGTTGTTGTTATTTCCTTCTCTCCTAAAGGCGCTAGTTCTTTGCTGGTGTATTTGGTCCATTATTCTTAAGGTGTCAGTCCAGACAGTGAGCATTGGCAAGTCCAGTCCTCATCTGTGCACGCCTACTTTCCAAGAAATGTTAACCTTAGCTAAACATTTGCATCCCACAGTTCTCCCATTGAGAAATAGCCTTAATGTCTCGTTCCCGGCAGACTTGGCAATGCTGAAGTAAGCAGCAGGTTGCAATTTCATTGTAATCTATTCAATAAGGCTACTTATGAAGTGGTTAAGCAGTGAGACATTCATCTCTATCAAAATCTCAAGCAGGTCAAAAGCAGCTTTGTTACAAAGTTCACATTGGAATTTCAGTACATTAAAATCTTGGATGGTGCTAAATAGGGGAATTACAATTAGATACAAATTACTGTTAAGCAGTTATCATGCTCATTTGCCCTTGAGTGATGGGAAAGTGGAAAGAAAGAATACTTAGAAGAGCCAAGTTATTTTAAGTGTGAATAGAATACATTATTAATGTAGGGATAACTTCAGGTACAGTACTCTTTACACTTGGCCTCTAATGAATACTAATAGTCAAAGTTGGAATTTAAATTGCTAATACTGAATTACAAGACAGACAGAGCATCATACTATTGGCATCTAGCTTTGAACTTTAAAAAAAACAAAACTGCTTCACAGGCAACTCTACAATTGCCACAAAGGTTAATGCAAACTGATACTTTTGTAGATTCTGGTATTAATTAATCAGCCGTACCCAGCAATCCCTATACCTTTTAAATACTGTATCTGCGGTTTCTATAGTAAATGTGCAAAATCATTAAACAAAGAGGAACGTATTCAAGCTGAACACTGGCTCTCTTAAAATTAGCCATTAAAACTAGAACTATTCCTTCAGATGATAAAGATAACTATTTTTACAGATACCAAGTACATTCTAGCCTGTCTGAAATTACTTTTAGAGATCCCAAATGAAAGGAAAACTTCCCCAATATTTAATTCAGTATGAACAAACATAACAGTTAATCTTGATTCCTCAAAATGCATTCCCACAAAATACATGATATTTATTATTTCTGAGATTATTTCCTTTGCTTCAAAGTTAATTCCATCACTTCCCAAGAAACACACATTTTACAGCACTCTTTCCTTAGTCTTTATTTAGAGTTATTGTTTTTCACTCATTCCTAAAGTCCAAAAACATTTTAAAATGTTTATTTTCATTTATTCTGCTTTAATCAAAAGAATCACAATAGGCTTAAGAACCAACTGAAAAGAGCCATGAGAAACTTTCTCAAAATGATCTTTGCTTTATCACAATGTGTTACACACTACCTGAAGGTCATTTCTTCACTGAGAAATCTAAAATACTTTCCTCTGGCCTTTGAACACTTAATTATTGCAAGCATACCCTCCGCAATGCAAGCCCTTTACAATTGCAATAAGCTGATAAAACCTTGCATTTCTCAGCTGGGTAATTCCAGAAACATTGCTTTACATATTTCCTCCCTCTCCCCAACTAACAGGCTTAGTGAACAGGTTAACATGATTGCACGTTTTCTTAAAGAGCAATGGATTTGAGGATTCGATTTTAGTTAACGCTATTTTACAGCACTTATGCCTCCACTCTCAAAAGGCAGGCAAAACTAAAACATAGTAAAAATATCACTTATGTTCTTTAAGTCAAAAGATGGAAAAACAAAGGTTGAGTTATAGTTTCAGTTGGACAGCTCAGCTCTGCTGCATTTATCAGCTTTATCCTCCAGTAAACCAAGGTAAAGGGATCGTGTCCTCCCTCCCCAATTCACCTCAGTACACAAAGATGATATGTGACAACCTTTTCTCTTGCAAGTGAAAGGTTTTTAAAGGAAATCTCAAAATAAGTAGACTACACAGGATCCACAATTCTAACTGTTACTCAAACAAGAACAATAACAAATTACACTTGAATAACGCCCTTGTCAGAAAGACAGGGCATTGAACAGTCAAGAGTTTTTTGGACCCGAGCTGGAAGCTGGGATCAGGAGGGGTAGAGTGCAGGTTGGGGGGAGGAGGATTGCTGAAGGCATGGTCGAAGAGGAAGGTCTTTAGACGGACTTGAAGAAGGCAAGAGAGGGGGTGAGGTGGAGGGTTTGCGGGGTAGAGTTCCAGAGTGTGGGATCAGAGATGCTGAATTTCTGCAAAGCCTCGTTTCTGCAGGTACCACATCAAAATAGATTAAGGAACCAACCAGAAAATAATTAGAACTGATGCAATGCATCACCTAAATTCGACTCTGTAGCTAAAACATACAATTTGAAAAAAAAATGGTAAGTTGCCCCGCAGAATGTTTTTACCTTTCAGAGTTTCCAACAGGAAGTAACAATTGTAATGCAGAAGACAAATCTAAGCATTTATACACATCGTCTTGTAAATAATTCTTGCATTAACCACTTTTCTATACAGTTACATTTGTAATTTTGAACTTTCAATTTATTTTCCGAGTTAGTTTGAAGTGAAATGTGAAACTAAAACGTCTGCCATCTGTACCAACATCCTAGCTGTACTTGTGCTGTTTGAGGTGAGTTTCCCTAGGTCAGCATATAATTTAATTCCTGAGCACGGTACCTTCTGAAAGAAGTCTTCTCCACTTTTGCCTTTTCCTTCAGCAGCAGCTGTAAAAGAAGTTTAGTCAGAGTCAAAGATACGCAATTATAGATTTAATTCTAAAAAAAATACTATTGCAGTGCAAGGAATATAGAATCAGCAAAATTGACTCTTAAAATGTGCATTTAGAAATGCCACTGGACATAACTTTGAGGAAAATATGTTCAGATTGTACGTCCCTAGCCTCTGGTACTCTCTCCCACCCTCAACCCCTCCATTTTGCCTGCTCTCTATCTGTCTTCAAGCCCACATTAAAGCCAACCTCTTGGACCACACCTATAGTCATCTCCTTCCACGCTTCCCCTTCTTGGCATCCAAGCATATCATTATAAAATGCCCTGAGACATCTTTCTACGTGAGGGGCACTATATGAATGGATGTTGTTGTTAATTATCAGCAAGAGCTGGATGTAGCATGAATCTCAATTTTTAACTTATACATTTGTGCTTAGTCCACGTACACTGTACCCAAATCTAAATTATAAGTGTTAAACCATGACCATCTATAAGTAGATTAGGGCACAGAACCTGACAGATAATACTTGACAAACGATATCTGGCATTCTGAGCACAAAGCCCACAAATAATAAAGCAACATTTATGTTTAGCTTGGGGGTGGTGTATGATGGGAACAAATAGGAAATGATCTAGAACATTGGAATGTAATACTTGGATCAACTTCTGTTTATCTGGAGCCAACTGTACCATGTTCATTTAATGTTTAACTGGATTTAAAACATGCTCCTTAAGTAAACACTTGCCATGGCAGCTCTGTGTTATCAGTATTTCAGAGAGTTCAAACAGCCTCAAAGAGAGAAGAGGTAGAAGGCACAAAGGAACTGTATGACTGCTTGGTTTGTCTGGGTGAACATGAAATGAACTGTGCCAAAATTATTTCACATACTAATCAGGGAAAGGCAAGCTGAACAGCCCGCAAGAGTTCCATCAAGCACCAGATACAAAAATATTTAATATCGGATTAGCCAGTACATCTGCTTTAAGTCTTTTACAAAGATTGTTAGTCCTTTAGGCAACAAGTCCTCAAATACCAGGATTTCATAGAAATTGCAGCAAAAGCAATCATATGCGGATGCTATCTTATTCACTGGAGCTGTACACCCTTTACCCGATTCCTTGCTTTTTCCCTGCACTTTTTATGTTGTTTCTCTTTAATTGCTAACCAACATATTCAGATTCCTGCACGTCAGAGTGAGCAATGTGGCAGAAGAGATAGTACAGGGGGTTGAAGGATTGTTGTGTGAATAAACATTTCTAAAAATAACTCAACAGAAAAGGTAAATAAAAGGCAAAATACTGCAGATGCTGGAAATCTGAAATAAAAACAAAAGTTGCTGGGACGACTCAACAGGTCAGGCAGCATCTATGGAGGAGGAAAGTGAGTTCACGTTTCAGGTTGATAACCTGAATATTCTGACGAAAGGTCATCGACCTGCAACGTTAACTCAGTTTCCTGACCTGCTGAGTCTTCCCAGTGACTTCTGTTTTCATTTCAACAGAGAAGTTCACAGTTGAAGATTTATGCCTTACTACTAGCAAAGAAACTGATTGAAAACTGAATTAGACAACTCAACAAGGAGGATTTTGTGGTTCAAGAAAGTCTAAGGAAGTTAAGCTTTTGCTCTTTGGAACAGAGTTTGCGATATGAACAGTTTAACAAAGTCAAGTTGCTTATTCAGGCAAAGGTCTTAAATGTTAGGGGCACAAGCTTAAGAATGAGAGAGGCAGAGTCAGCTTTACAGAAAGAATGGGAGTCATTCCAGAAGGCCTTGAAGCAGAAAGAATCAATGGGCTCCAAAGGTAAAGTGTTTCTGGGGAGGAGACAGAGAGATGGTGAAAAGGTGAGAGTTTTAGTAACAAAATACGATGACCTTTCCACTTCCGAAAACCTTTTATGTTCTTATTAGTTATATCCTTCAGCTAGACAATATTTTTGGTCGAGACAAATAAAGAACTGTCTTGGGAGATGACTTCACTGCTAACTAGCGAGGAGCAAGTCAAATGTGGAACATGTGGTTTTACAGGACAAATCCCCTTCCACCCTCACATGAAGCACTTCACCTTCCTGCAGCACTCAATGAGCCCTGCCAAGTTGATAGCTGATGAGAGTCAACTAAGTGAAGCAACGAAACAAGAATGTTTGGCTATCATGGAGTTTAACTCCCTGCAACTTGTCTGAGAGTCAATCAAGACTGATGCAAGTTACCAGACTTGCCAAAAAAAATGAAAATAGTATGGAATATAGTACTCAAAAGAATTGAACTTCACAAGCAATTTACAGACTGTTAATGACATTATCCCCTAAGGGTTTATTTCATGTGTTTATGTTTAATTATGAGTATCCAGCTGTGTGCAAAGGATTCACAATTTTCATTCGAAATCTTTCCAAGAGTGTCGTCAGATTTACACAGACAGAATTGTGATTCTGGCCAAATTCTGTGATTTGGATTTAAGCATGGACATCGATTCATGACAATTTAAATATAAATGTTAGCCTCGGTTAATTACTCTTGGTACAAAATTATATTGTTCGTAACTTGGTTTTTAATTATTATGGTTAATTAGCTTCTGCTAGAAAATACATGTTCGTCTAGTCACTACACTTTACAGTAAACCCAGTGAAATACCTTACGATGTTCTTATGACGTTATATCAAACGCAAAGATTATTTATTAAATACATATGCTAATACAAACAAAAAAGGATAAATATTTGACTATATAAAGATACAAGAAAGTTCACTTGTAGTCACTCTCATATCATATCATTCACCTCAAAGGCAGCAACAATTTGATGCCAATTAATCTCCGGCAGATATGATCACAGTAATGGTTGATGTGGAGGAAATGGAAATGTTACACTGTTTTGCAGTGTGCACTTGTGAGGTCTGTGCTAACAGTAGCTTGTTGGGTTAAAAGTTGAATGGGCAGCAAAACCATGCTGCACTGAATCTGAAAGTGCTCGTCAGGTACAAAATGTAGAGAAGAAGTTAAATTACTAGACTGATAAACACATCCCAATAAAATTACAGTGATTTTTTTAAAAAAAACAATCAATGAGCACTCAAAATAATTTTGTGTTATTCACACTGGAGGTACTTTAGAAGCCAAATGTGTTTGTAGTTAACATGCAAGCTAAACAATTCAGACACATGATAGAATGATGTGTTGGTGGCAATTTGTCCTTTACATTATCTAGTCCCTTCAGAATGAAGCCTAAGCTTGATTGTTCTTCTTCTGGAAGAAATGTATTGCAGTTAATAGAATCACTGCACATTTTGAGAGAACTGTACTGTATAAACATTACTGTAGGTGTTTATTTTTTCAGACTTCAGATGACAAATCCCAACAGGTCTGTCTGTTAGTTGTCAGAGATACTGAAGGACACGGGTTGCAATCTGAACTTTACCTGCTTAGTTAATGAATACCAGGTTACAATTCGTACAATGCAAAGGGAGGTGGTAATAGCTTTCATACAGCCAATATCTTTAGATAAAAGTTCTCTGTTATATTTAAATGAAAGTATTACAATATTGCCATCTTTCTGAAAGCTGTCTGCCAGGTATGAAGATGATTGGAGTCATTCATGTAATACACTGCAAACACAGACAGACATAGCTTTGTTACTTTTGACAGCATGTGTACTTAAACTTTATTAGTTGGGAATAGTGTAGGATTCATACAATGTGCATGCTGTCACTGTCAGTGAGAATGTCAGCGCTTGGCACAAGAAATACACAAGCTTTCGCCTATGACAGGGGCCGTCTGAACTACATTACTGCTTTAAGCAGAAGGCACTAGGAAGCGGAGGACTTGTTTTATATAAACTTGTTATTTAATCCTCATCTACAAAAAAACATCCTGTTCACTGTATTTCCTCTTGCAGTGGAAAAACGAATAAGGGAACAAAGGGGAATAAAAATTCAGGTTCCTTCTGTCATCAGTCATTTGTTCGGGATGTTGCGCAGTTTGTACAACCAGTTTTATATCTCGCAAGAGGATATTTCGTCTTCGGTTGTACTGCAATGTTTGCCAAGCAACAATCCATAAAATGCAGTCCGCCTTACAGAAATGTAACTGGCTTCCAAGCAGCTGATGAATATGTTTTTTNCCACCCAGACGCCCAGTCTGAAGCAGACAATATACTTCCTCAGGAGTCTGACGTGTCTGACAATGCGTCCACAACACCTCACTAGATCTTTGTAAACTAAATTCCCTTCTTCTGCCCTTCACTCCTGGACATGAAGTTTAATGGCCAATAGTTCCTCCCACCAAGCCTCTTCTGCAAGTGTTCCCTTAACATTAAATTATTGTTAAACTGCTTAGAATTTTGGATTTTCTAGTGGGATTTTAATACCACTATATTAGTATATTTTCCCCTCTATTACAGCTTTGAGTTTGCGGATAAACCTTGGCAAAAAAGCACATTGTAAATTAGTTGTTAACCTGTGTCAAGCTGCCCTGTAATGCAAAGATCAAAGCATGTGCCCCAAGAATGACATTAATACAACAAAAGTTCAAAACGACCATTATATTTCAGTCAGATTGGGCATCTATCAATTCCCCTCAATAAAAAATCATCAGTTCTAGGAAAAGCCACAAGATGGAGCAATTCAGATCTTTGGAAGGAAGATGCTGGCAAGCTCAGTTATGCCTTCTTGGGAGTTGTTTCTTCCACACAATTTGCACAGCAGTTGTGTAGCAATCTGTACCTCACACCAAATGAGATGGGAACAACAACAACAACTTGGATTTATATAGTGCCCTCCACGCCGGACGGCTCTCAGAGCGCTTCACAGTAACGGATCCCGGGGCCGAGCCAGGGGGAGGGGGAAGAAGGTGACCAAAGGCGCAGTCGAAAAGAAAGGTCTTCAGCTGAGACCTGAAAATAGGAAGAGAGGGGGCGAGGCGAAGGGAGAGGAAGGGAGTTCCAGAGCCTCGGGGCGTAGTGGCTGAAGGCACGGATGCCGATGGTGGAGCGGAGGATTCGGG